TTCACCTCCCCTTGAGTCAAACCAAGCTTCAGTCCCTTAAGGAAGTTGTAGTTAATGGAAAAAAGCATGAAATTGAGTCGTTACCCCAGAAGCCTTCGGAGAGCACATATCGGCTGCGGGCGCGCTCTGCCATGTACCGACGATCGCGGCGATCGCGGCGATCGCCGAGGTCGCCGCGATCGCCGCGATCGCCGCTGCTGTCGCGAAGTATGAACGCTGCCTCATACCTTCACCCATGGACATCCCTCATCCATGCTGAGTCATGGACGGCACTCTCGAGACAAGAGAGAATTTATAGATATACTTGGTATGCTTGCGATACAGGAAATCTTCGTACATAGGTGAGCGGGCAGGTTAGCCTTTCTTCTGACATTGCAAGAGCAAAGACGTAAATATGTGCAGTGGCTCAAATAGTTCCACTGATATAACCAACGTTGAAGTTGCATTCAAATCTCTTCAACCATCTTTCTTCAGCTCTTGGATGTCTCAGCGATTATTTTGGCCAACCTCTGCGTTTGCTACATTATGACTAATCAGAACGAAGAGGTCAGGATTTTAGAGAAACTTCGAGTTTTTTCTGTCTTACATTAGCACATAAACTGTACAAAGTCAAAAGCAGTAATTTAAGGCAGAAGAGTTGATGCGCAAGGTTGAGCGCGAAGAGGACGACGCAAGGGAAATGGATGAGACACGAAAGTGTTTTCACGTATGCATCATCAACTTGGTGATAGGGACTCTTTACTGCAGTAAAGTAAGTGACAGTGCAAAAAGATGAGGAATTGTAATAAACTGAAGCCATCGGTGAATATTCAGTTGGTGAATATTCAGTTGGTTTGGCTCTGAAGTGGAATTTTAGGGGCACCTCAACACCCACAGTCCAGTTCACATGCTTTTTCTCACTTCAGATAATGTTAGACCTTCGTGCAATTACAGTCTTATTCGCTGTGGATGATGGGGCGTGTCAATGAGGCTGGGGTTCGGCCCGCTGCCAAGCCGTTCTCCATCAATTGTTGAAGAGGGTGAGCGACAGCAGTTGGTGCAGGGAGACTGATACAAAAGATACGATACAGTGTTTTTGCTTGCTGAAAGGAAAGGTAGGAAAAAAAGTGGCTTGCGCCGCTCCGAATGATCTCCTGGCATGCCCCGTCATCGTATATCATACAGTCCTAGACCGTATAAGAGGGAAGGGGAGGGCTGATGGCCGCATTTACCGTTTCCCACCAATTGTTGAAACGGGCAAGCAACAACAGTTGGTGATTAACGTGCTGACGCCTCTTCAGACCCGGCTTCTACCCCTTGACATGTCTCTGCATCCTCAGCAAACAAGAATGTATTACATCAGTCTGTGATCGACGATCCCACATTCGTGAGCACCCAGTGAAATGAAAATGTTACTTAACGTCTGAACAAAAGTTGTATAGCAGTGCATCCCACAGCAGTTGCAGTTTATCTTACCTCAATCTTGAAAAGCAAATATTGCGCCCAATAACTGCAGTTCTGTTTGGATTGGAAGTATTTCCCGCGATCAGTAAGGTCACAAATTACTTCAGCAATCAATCTGCTATATAGATTTCAATGAAAGCCACCATGCAGCTATGCAGTATGCAAAATGATAGTACGATTCTAGGGTAATTTTGAATTCGGAATATCTCGTGTGATCAAAGCGATGGAGCCTCAAGAGCGAAGGCTTGGCACGGACACCTGGTACTACGCGAAACGATGCCTTCTAGCCACTATTGGTAAGAATGTTTTTTGAGTTTACGAGATTTGTGAGGCAACTTCCCTGAGACTGCGCGATGTTTTCAAAGCGATTTGTTGGTCACTCTATGTACGAGTTCGGCGATATAGCAAACAACCAAAGGTAAACTCTACCTCCGTGGGTCCTTATCCTTGCTGTGTGTGGGCAGAATGGCTGTGTAGCTGCAGTAGCGCGCCACTTCTCTCCAGTCGGAAGTGCACGGGAAAGGCACTGAAGTGTGGCGATGTCCAGGGTGCCGTCTCCATACTCCGTTCGAGCTGCCGCATGGAGAGCCACACGCCTGACCAAAGCCAAACGCGCTGCTTCTCTGCACTCTCTCATTTCTGGTAGTTTTCTACCGCTGAGTGCATGCTTCGCTGGGGAACCTCAGTATCGAAGCAAGTGCTGCACATAGAGGATAGCGCGGGCGGAGTGTGGAGATGAAATTTGGGCACCACTACCCTACAGCCCCGGTCGCAAGCACTTCTGAACTGTGAAAGTGGTACGCTCCGGCTGCTGAACTGAGGCCGTCGTGTGTATCTTGTCATCAAGAGATCAGCAAATGACTGCCTCCGCGAAGCTATGAAATATCTCAGTTGCAGGATAAAGGGTACAGCTTTCCTTTTCGTTGGAGAGTTGTAGACTAGCTTGGAGGTATAGGCGAAATTAGAGGGCCGAGTCGGACACAGTCGTGGCGACAGCATAGGGGCCTGTGGACACTCTCCTCAAATGCTGGGAGAAGTACTGTTGGTAAATACGCCGAACCACATCAGAATGTGCGAGTGAGTCAGTAACTAAGATCGAGAACCACAGACCGCTGACCTTGATTTTTAATTTCGGACACAGGACATCCCCCTTCGCAGGGGTTTCAAAGATCTTTGGTGAGAGAGGTTACCTTAATCAATTGGCGAAGAGAAACTTTCGAACCTTACATTCTTAAGTTTTCAGTTAGGGTAAAACATAATTGCCCCTCTTCAGAGACGATGTCGAAACATTTGGTGGTCATCCGCGATTCCGTCGTCCATGAATGCCTGAAATTCCTGAGCAGATGTGAAGGTACGTATATTCGAAGAGCTAGCAGGGATGTTGTATTGGGTCGGCCCATAAGTAATGGCGTTTTTTCTCACTCGAAATATCGCGCTGAAAATGAAAAGTTTTGCCACTGAATTTTGTATTGTTTTGCAGAGAATCCCTTGCCCTATACGACAGTTTCTTGGTTCTTTCAAAGTTCCTCTCCAACTATTTGAGTGCTCAAACTGGAGTGTCAGGTCCACGAAATTAAGCATTCTCAACAGCCTTTTTTACGTGTAATTGAAAAGGTAAAATCGCACACGCTCAGTCGCTAAGTATACGGCCAGGAGACTATGTCCCTAATGAATGCTTACAATGGCTTAAAGGCAGCGCCCGCGTTCAATTTGATGAGTTATGGGGCTCAGACAGTGACAACAAGGTAGCAAGTAGTTCATTAGTGAAGAAAAATGCAAAAAAATCATCGGATATGCCCTATATAGGACCCCACGCCGAGCTGAGGTTGTACGTGCTCAAGGCGAAGAGAAGGCGCGGCCGCACGAGTTCTCACTTGTTGATATCAGCTGTTTTCCCTTATCACCTCACTCTCACCATTCGAAGTGGAGAGAGTTAGTAGCGGAACAACCGCACCATCAGGCAACCATTAGAAATGAAGTTGGGCGTAGTGGTCGCCAGGTGGGCGGGGTGGCCGACTCTTCACGAGCGGGCGCCGCTATCTTTTTGAGTTGCGAAACTAGTACGTCCACCATCCTCATAGGGTGAGCTACGATATCCAAAGAGGGCGTGGAAACAACAAATTAACGCGGGCGCTGCCTTTAAGTTATTCGAAGATTTCCATTTCGACCTCACAGACAAGCATCGAACCTAATGCCCTATTGAGTCCAACTGAGAGCTTACTGAATTACCTTATTCACGGAGATTCATGCCAAAGATTGAGGAATCGTTAGAGGTCATGGAATGCTTCCTCATCATTGTCAAGCACCACCCTTAGTTGATGTTAGACCTTCAAACGTTGAGGGTAGGTTCTGCAGGCAAAAGCCCCTCAAGAGGGCATCCACGCGATGCACATTTACGAGGTCCAAATTCCCATCTCTTGATTGCTTGAACCAACT